TATCTTTCCTTTTTTTTCCTTCCTTCCCTCCTCCTTTCCTTTCCTTTATTTCTGTCTTTCCTTCCTTCCTTCTTTCCCTCCTCCCCTCCTCTCTTGTCCTCTCTTGTCTTTATCTTCCCTTCCTCACTTCCCTCTTCCTTTCATTTCCTTCCTTCCTTTCTCTTTCTTTTCTTTTCCTTCCCTTCCTCCTTTTTTTCTTTCTCCTTCCTTCCTTCTTTCTCCCATTACTGTCTTTTTCATCCTTTCCCACTTAGGCATGGAAATTCTGCTCCCACTTGTGGTCGTAAGTCGAGGGCCAGCTGGATGGAGACAGCCACCTTCTCTCTTCTTCTCTTCCAGGGTACTGATTGCCATGACTAGTCGTAACGATGCTCGAGGGATTTTCTCACTTATGAACGAAACCACAGGGGTGGACATGCTAACCAGCCAGTATCTTCAGGAACTGGTGAAACCTGACCAGAATGACACCACCACGCTGGGACACACAGCCCAGAAACTGATCAAAGACTATCTCCAAGAAGCAGGAAGCCGGTGGCCCAGCTGGAGCGTAAGTTTCCAGCTTTAGGATCGAGTTGGGATATTTAAAGGAGAATATTTGTGGCTTACAGTTGAAATGGGCGTCTTTGGTACTTTCTCAGCTTGGGGAGTTTTCTTTTCCTTTTTTAAAATCAAGTTTTTTTATTTATATATAAACATTTTGAAGACAGTGTATTGTCCGGGCTATTTGTTTTACACACACAAAAAAAGGAAAAAATAACAGATATGCTGATAGTAATAAGAACCTCGGTGGCGCAGTGGTTAGAGTGCAGTCCTGCAGGCCACTTCTGTTGACGGTCGGCTGCCTGCAATTTGGCAGTTCAAATCCCACCAGGCTCAAGGTTGACTCAGCCTTCCATCCTTCCGAGGTGGGTAAAATGAGGACCCAGATTGTTGAGGGCAAGAGGCTGACTCTGTAAACTGCTTAGAGAGGGCTGTAAAAGCACTGGGAAGTGGTATATAAGTCTAAGGGCTATTGCTAATACATGTAATAATTACAATCATATTTATATTAGCTTATTTGTGATCATATTAATTGTACTAGCAGGCTTATAATTATAAACAACATTCATATTTTACTTACGTATAACAATCATCTTTCTTCATCTAATTTCTACCTCTTATCTCTAAGCTTGGGGTTTTTTTGTAGACGTTTCATTACCCAACTAGGTAACATCATCAGTGCTATAGAAGGGAGAGAGGTTTTCTAGGAGGAGAAGGACTGTTAGGATCCTTGGTGCTCTGTGAGCTGGGTGGTTTTCTTGCAGATGTTTCATGACCCAAACTGGGTCATGCTAGTGCTAATTCCCTCTGTGACTCTTGCATCCCTTCATTAAGTTTTACGCGCACTTTTGGAACACCGACACGACAATGTGTTGTTTTACTCAGCTTGGTTTTTTTTCGCTGGGATGCTAACGGTCTCTCCCCCCCCCCCTGCAGATGGGTAGACCGTATCTTGGACATTTGGCCAAATCCATGGGGGAGCAGTTGCTTCGCCTCCACCATCTACTCTTCTACACTCTGCCCGGGACGCCCTTCACAGATTTCGGAGATGAAATTGGCCTATGGGACATGCCGGGAGAGGTAAGATCAGCCATAGAAGGAGTCAGGTGGGGTGGGCTCGTTAGGATGCCAGGCAACAAGGTTAGGATGACAGGGAGCATGTAAGTCTGTGTGCTCGATGACTGGGGGGTGTGTGTGTGGTGGAATATTTTGCCCAGCAACGATTCTCTTAATTTCTCCTCCAGCCTGCAGCATCCAACGTCACACATATGCAGTGGGACAACTCGGCAACTTACGGATTCTCCAGAGGGGCACAGCAGCTGGCTGAACCCGAGGCCAGCAATATCACTGTGCAGGTAAGAAAAAGCTAATTTTTCAGGGTAAAAGGAACGACAAACGTTTGGGCTAGAATTTGAGGCCAACAGGATAGAAAGCGGGAGTTATAGCTCTGCCTTAGGGATGGAAGCCAGCTGGGTGACTTGGGTCCAGTCACCAGGAGACAGTGAATTCTAGTCCAGCCTTGGGCATGAAAGCCAGCCAAGTGACCTCAAGCTAGTCCCTCTCTCTTAGGTCTATAATAATAATCATAAAATAGAAAAATATCATAAAAAAAGAAGATGCTAAATTGCTCAGGGACTTTAGAATTCAAACAGACACCTGCCGCTTAACACCCTGAACTTAAGAATTGTCGATAAGAAAGACAAAAAAGGTCTGGATGTGGGACGTGGCAAAATAGAAAAGAAAGAAGTGGAGAAAATAACAAAATGACAAAAACCTGCAAAGAGAAGTCGAACGACTAGGGCAAAAGAAAGCAAAGAATGGTCCCTTGTAGCAAATAGGTGCTTTTGAGTGAATCCCAAAATATCTGGAGCGCCACTTAAACCCCCTTGGCGTTGACAAAAACCCCCATCGGTCAATTGCAAAAGGCAGCTTGTCTCGGAACAGCTTCTAGGTGCAGGAAAGCTGGAAAAATATTATAATTTCTACACCCCCCCCGCCGCCTTGTTTTTCCTTTCCAGGCGCAGCAGGGCCACAAGGGGTCCATCCTGAGCTTCTTCCAAGAACTGAGTGAGCTCCGAACCAAGGAACGCTCCCTCCTGCATGGCGACTTCGCCTTAGTGCAAAGCTTGAATTCGTCCGTCTTCTCCTACCTTCGGGTCTGGGACCAGAACAAGCGGTTCTTGGTGGTGCTCAACTTCGCCCGCCAGGAGAGAACCGTCTCCCTCGTTCACTCTCACCTTCCATCCCAAGTCGATGTGGAGCTCAGCACCCATCCCAGCCGGGAGGAGAGGCAGCTGAATTTGCAGAACCTCAAGCTCCTTCCTTCAGAAGGGCTTCTCCTCAGCTTCCCCTACATGGCCCACTAGTCGGTCTTCTCCCGATGCCGCCTGGCCCATTTTCAGCAGGAGGTGCCTCCCAAAGAAGACACTCCAGCCAAGGATCTCTTTCCTGAGCTTACTAACGTCCTTCTTCTCTATCTACCTGTCTTTGTTAACCCCACAGCTCAGCCTTTCCCAGACCCCAGACTCCAAATCCCCACAACCAGCTGGCCGGGAGAAAGTCTGTGTGGTTCCTAAACACCTTAAGAGGCTGAAGTTGGCCGAGGTCACCTCTGTTTCCATGAACATTCCTGGAACTGTCTATTATTTTCCCCTATTTTTTTTTTTTTTTTTAATATTGGCAGGTCATCTCTGAGACAAAGGTAGATGTGAACCTCCATTCTCTCCAGCTGGAAGGGATGGTTCAACGAAAGGATGGGCTAAATTATAGCAGTGTTTCTCCATCTTGGCAACTTGAAAATGGATGAAATTCCAACTTCCAGAATTCCCCAGCCAGACGTTGCCATGGTTGAAATACTCTAAGCCCAGAGTGAAACCTTCGTGTCAGTCTGGTGCTAACACACACACACACACACACACACACTTTGGGCAACGAGGACCATGGATTCACTTTCCTGGATTGCTTTGCCTATCCCATTTTGAGTTGTAGTTCTGCAATTTTCAGTTCTACAATCTTTTCCTGATCATTAAGTATGAATTTTGTCCTGTCGGCGTCTGGCTCCCTTGAAGATATTCTATCAGCTTAACAAAGTGTGCAAGCTTCCTATGTTTTGCTGTGGAACAAGTTTTAATAAATGTCTCTCTTCACTTTCAGACTCATCTGGTTTCTGTTGAGGAGGGTAGTGTCTAAGGATACGTGTCCATCATTTTAAATCCCTTCGTGGTTTGGTTCAGATCATATCTGGAGGAAGGAAGAGAACCACAATCTTTTCCCTTCCTTCCCCTCCTTCCTCCCTTCTCCTTCCTTTTCTTCCTTCCTCCCTTCCTTCCCCTTCCTTCCTTCTCTCCCTTCCCTTCCTTCCTCCCTTCCCCT